GGGGGGGGGGGGGGGGATACTTGGGGACTATGTAAATATCCCATGTCTCATCATACTTTGCCCACTCATTTTTCACATCCCTTGACGATTCCTGCCTGAAACAATGATTACTGTAGCGTTTGCCAAACGTTGCTCGTCTGTTTCTGTCATTTCTTCTATATTTACTCGTTAGGGCTCTACTGCAAGGAAGAGCTTCCTCTTCTCCCCCACTTGTTGATGTGTTTGTTTTTTCCTGTTTGGGCTGATGTGTTATATTTTCTTTGATGAATTATCATCCATTTAACATATGTGCTTTTTACAGAGGGGCTCCAGAAAATATTTACAAAGCAGCCCACTGCAGCCAGGTTCCCTCACAGCCAGAAGAGTCTGGTCATGTTCCAGTATCCATTGTCCATATGCAGAGGACAGAGATCCCTCTTCATCCCTGAATCCCTGTCCACAGCCAGAGCAACTGTGGAAGGCCCTTCCGTGCCGGAAGGCACATTTTGGAAAGGCCCAGTTTCTGGAACTGGCCGAACTGACCAGAGCCAGGCTGGTCCAGGCTCTGAGGAAAGGCCCGTAGCCTAAAGAACACACGCTTGGGAGGACCAGACAGTGGGTCACACAGGGAGGACAGCAGCTGTGAGAAAGTTCTTGAGGGGAGTTCTCGGGGAAAGCGTTTAGGTGCTGAAGTCCAGTCCTTTTTTTTTTTTTTTCTAATGCTTCTTTCAGTTTAGCACATTCTTGCTTCCAAGTATGTTTCAAGGGTAAACCATAAGCTTAAGAGAACATTTCAAGTGGCTATTTGTGTCTTAAATGGAACATTATTGTTATTCAACTATTTGATTTTATATCAATAGATTGCTTCTATTCTTTTCTTCCCTGATGACAAAATGCTTCATATGAAAACCCCAGAAAATTACCTTTGTAAAAGAGCTTCTACGGTAACAAGAACAACCTCCTCACCGCCCCCCACCTCACACAGAAAAAGTTGCCTTGACGTTTTTTTGCCTTGTAAAGCCCCAGTTTTCCTCCTGCTCTCTATCTATTGGGCTTGTGTCTGCAGGCATGCAGAAGGGCAGTAGTTACTATTGCCATTTAGTCCTTTGAAAACACCCTCTCTTCTGCATTCACAAAATTTTCTGTCAGGATATTAATAAGACACCCTTATGGGGCCGGAAAAGGAGCTGCTCTTTGCCTGTTAGATGAACAGGTCTTGGAGCAGCCCACCCGTATGACTATTTTGGGACAAAGCCCTCTCTTCTCTTATCAATCCAAATTCTTATTTTGTAAAAGGCTTAAAAGCTATTGGGTCCAGGGTTTAAAGTGCACATCAGAGATAACCATGTACTTTCTCAAAACTTATCTGGTCTAAAGAGTCAGTTTTCTGAATTATCTGGTGTAATTCTGGGATCTACTCTTTTCGCATGGCCTTGATTCATATAAAGCACACTCATTGTTCGTGAGACTTTGGGCAAAGAGCCAGCCCTCCCTTCCTTAGGGACTCTCCATTTCTGTATGAAAAATGCAGTGCTGGCCCCTCATCCTGCCGTCTGGCCTCGCTGGGATGTTTCCACAGCACTAGTGCAGTAGCGGAAGCTTCTCGTAGGAGAACTGCGTAGGCTGTGCTGTGGTCGCTCCAGAATAAACAGCAAAAGCTTGAAGTAGAAAATAGAGTTCAAGAAATCCATTTCCTCATCTGTTAAAGGAGAGCATCAGACAAAATAATGCCTAAAGCAGCAGGTTATTGACCTTTTTTGAGTCATAGATCCCTCTGAGAACCCGATGAAAACCACAGGTCCTCTTGCCAAAAAACATCCACATAAACCTACACACTATTTTGAGTACAATTTCAAGGAGTTCTACAAAGCTCGTCCTCCCTTAAGTCAGAGAATCCTAAGACTGGGGAAGGAACTCAGGTGGGGACTGATTTGGGACAAATTACTACTCTTGTTGTAGTTCTGACTCAAAAATCTGCAAGGGAGGAAAATCTGAGACCATTCACAAGTTCCCCGATGACTGAGACCCAGCCCAGGGTGGTGGAAAGAGCATAGGCCTGGGTGCCAGACAGACCTGGACTTGAGTCCGCGCTCTGCACTCACCAGCCTGGGGCCTTGAGCATGGCCCTAACCTCTCCGAGTTTATTTTGTGCTCTCTACGGTCAAGTGAATAATGCCCCCCTCACAGGATTAGCGGTGAGGAATAAATGACATGACATGTTGTCACTCGGCACAAGTAAACAGCGCTCGGGAACTGTGCCTGCCCTGCCCTTCCCGGTGATCTTGTTCTGGACTGTCAGGTGGTTGGGTGGCCTGCTTGGTGCTGCCAGCTCTCTGTGGGCTTGGCATGGGGTCCACTCTTCCGTCTCCCCAGCCTCCCACCTGCCCGGGGAGAGTCCTGGCAGCACCTGCCCCAGCCCAAAGCCCAGCCTTGGTAGGAGGACTGCGGCGCCGGTGCCCAGGGAGGAGGAGTGGGGATGTCCCTCTGCCACCTCTTAGCTGGCTGGGCTGAGCTGTCCTCCTGTGCTTTGAGCAGCTTTCTCAGTTTTTGTCTATGTCCAAGGAGGAAGTTGGTAGTGTCTCTTCTACTCTTGGGGATGTAGGCGTTTTCTTTGGCTGACTTTCAGGAGAGATTTCTCTCCATAGGCACTTTCTTCACTTCATTCAGTGACATTCTCGGTCCAAGAAATTATTAGGGACTCCATTTCTGCCCATTCTCCTGAGTTCCCTGTCATAGCTTTCGTTGGAATAGAGCCCGCCACCTCTTCTAGCTGGGTGAAGCCTAGAGTCTCTCTATAAACTAATGTTCCTTGTTGTTTGTTTTGAATTAATTTCAAACTTTCAGAAGAGTCCCAAGAATCGTACATAGAGCTCCTGTGTACCCTTCACCCAGGTTCCTCAATTAACAGCTGTCTCTCCCGCCTCTGACACACACACTGACAGACACACACATACTCACGGATATATGCACATACATGTTGTTTTTCCTGAGAGATTCAAACTCTCAAATTGCAGGCAAGATGCCCCATTACTCCTTAATATTTCAGTGTGTGTTTCCTGTAAATAAGGACACAGTCTATGTAACCATAGTACAAACCATCAAAATCAGGAAGGTAACATTGATGCAGCACTCCCATTAAATCCATAGACCCCATTCCCTTTCCCCAATTGCCCCAATCCTGTTTTTTATAGATCTCAAATCCATTCCGGGATCGCAGGTTACATTTATTTGTCATGTCTCTTTGGTTCAGTCCAGAAGAATAATCTATTCTTTCTTTATCTTTCATGACTTGGAAATTTTTTTTAATTAATTAATTAATTAATTTATTTTATTTTTGGCTGCGTTGGGTCTTTGTTGCTGCGCGCAGGCTTTCTCTAGTTGCAGCGAGTGGGGGCTACTCTTCATTGCCGTGCGTGGGCTTCTCCTTGGTGGAGCACGGGCTCTAGGCACGCAGGCTCAGTAGTTGCGGCGCACGGGCTTAGTTGCTCCACGGCATGTGGGATCTTCCCGGACCAGGGCTCGAACCCGTGTGCCCTGCATTGGCAGGTGGACTCTTAACCACTGCGCCTCCAGAGAAGTCCCATGACTTGGAAATTTTTGACACGTGTAGGCCAGTTACTTTGTGGAATGTTCCTCAATCTGGTTCTGACTGATGCTGGCTCATGATTTATGATTCATACAGAAGTGGTGCCATGTTCTTCTCAGTAACTCTTGTCAGGAGACACACGGTATCAATGTGTCCCACAACTTGTGCTGGTCAGTTTTACTACTTGGTTTAGATGGTATTGGCCAGGTTTCTCTATTAATTAATAAGTAATTAATAAGTGTTGATTAACCTTGAAACCATATAAATAGCCTTTTTCTCATCTTTCACTTACTTATTTTACCATCTGTTAATGACACTTGCCTGAATCATTTATTACTAAGATAGTTGCCAAATAATTATTTTTCTAATTCCATCACTTCTTCTACATTTATTCTG